TCACAGTCCATTCAGTAGCTGTTCTGGAGCTTTAGATCACATGATCCTCCTCAGCAGATGGAGTTACCCAGCTGTCATGAAATTGTTTACTCTCCTTCAAGGACTTCTCATCCATATTGAGTGTCTTGACGCTGGAAACAGTAATTGACAAAACAGTGTCACCTCAAGGTCTATCTAGTAGATTAGTCCATTAAGTAACAATTAGCTTCACCTCAACCAGTTACAACATTAAAATGCAGCATCCACCACTGCTCAGAAATGCACTGTGATTACTTTGCTATCAGACATACCTAAGGACTTTTTATATTTGTTGCATAAAGGCAAAGACCAGAAATGGTGAACAATGAAAGGAAATGTATTCCAGGTGTGCCTACAAACCACTACAGTTAGTGTCCTGCGTCCTACTTCAAAAGCGCTCTGATTAATCTTTGTATCTTTGACTGTTGTGGTAAAAGTATCTTTGGGTCCACGTGGAAAACGATAATGTACTTAACTACAGAGACAGAAAGACCCTGGGGCAGAGGGCTGGGCCTGCGCTTGACGGTTAGATGTATTAATCTGGTATTCATTGGACAATGCGTTCTGCCTGCTCTGGCTCCAAATGACGCCAGAGCCTCGGGTCAGGGGGTGCCAGAGTCCCTAACGCTCCATGGAGCAGGGAGACAACAGGGTGACACATCACAGACACTAGAGAGTCATTGGAGCTGTTGTCTTGTGGTTTTCACCCCATCATGGCCTTCATATCTCAGACTGCTGGAGTCCTGCTTAAAGGGGTGAAGGAACTGTTACCATGGAAACTAAGAGGCAAGAGTAAGTATGTGGGTTCATGTGTGCGAATGTGTTTTACTTCCTATAAGACTGTCATTATCGTTAAACACGACAAGACAGACGAGTGTGTTTGCTTTGAGATGAACCGACACTGCGGTGGTAGACAGGATGGGCTCTGGTTGAGGCGGTTTTGCTATGCATTTGTCTGGCAAATTATATTCTGCTGTGAAGTGAAATTAAGCCCTAGTTTAAGCTGATTGTGAATTAAAACTGAAAAATGTTTGACTTGTGCTTTGAATCTATACTCTCTGCTGGTTTTTCATACAGTTTGCTGAATTTGGCATTGTGATATGAGAGCCAGTCTGATGAGGGCAACTCTGTGTTTCTAGGAGTCATGCTGTGTTGCTGTAGTGTGGCAATATCTACTGTTTGTGGTACTCGTGGTCTCCCATCACTAAGCCAGGTCAGCAGGCAATTAGCAATTTGACTAAACGGCATGTCTGTTGTTGCATCTGTCCATTGCATGGAGCCTGTTTTTGGTTTTACAGGAATTTGTGCATGTGTGTGTGTGTGTGTGTGTGTGTGTGTGTGTGAAAACAGAATTAAATTTGCAGACTTGTGTGTGTGTGCGTATCTAACCTTTTGTGCTATGGTTGGTGATTGCAGGTAATCCTTCGAACAGCCAAAGTAAAAAAACCATAAAGCAGCGATTCCTCAAGCTGCTGCCATGCTGCAAGCCCTCGGCTGCCCCCTCAATCAGTCAAAGCAAGTGCTACCTTACTCTCTCTACATCTCTACCTCCTTCCATGTGTCCGGCCTCTTTAGTGAACTGAGAAGATTCATACAGACACTTGTGCGGATGCAGTCATGTACACACAGCCACAGAGACAATCAGTGTACACATAAACCCACATACAGTTACACAGAAACTCACGCAACTCCAAAACACTCTGGTATTGTTGCTGCTAATGGGTCAAACCTCGAAATTTGTTATTTGAAGCAAGTTATTTTCTCGTGGGCAATGTAAAGTGTGTGTGTGTGTGTGTGTGTGTGTGTGTGTATGTGTGTACTTTACTCAGTTAACGTACCAGGCAGATAGAGATTAAAGTTAGATAAAAGCTAGTAGGTTCTAGAGGTCTAAGAACTTAGAATAATTGACATATTCTATGAGTTGAGTTATTTGTGGAGAAACAGATGGAATGAGAATGAGGTGAGGAATATCTGTTAGTGGCTGCGTCTCATACCTTTTTGCCTCTCTTCTACCATCTTTATTCATGTTGTTCAATGTCTTCTCCTGCTTCCTCAGTAAAGGGGTCTCCCCAGCTTCTTTACTGTACTTGACCTTGAGTTTACAGACAAGAAATTCAATCATTTTATAGAATTATTACTGACTATGTTTTGCTTTGTGATATGAATTACTGTAGCTTATGCTGGAACAAAGATGTTAGAAATCGCTTGACATAGTAATCTCACAATTATGTATAGAAAATTGCATTCACTCATGTTTTGATTGAGTGAAATAATAAAATAATGATCAACACTGAAGTGAAGACTTATGTATGATGAGCTCAATATCAGTTTGATGACTTCATTACAATATGTTGGCCAGACCATGGCTGGTCTGGAGGTTGGTGTTGGTGTAGTGACAATAAATACTGATCAACACTGGTCTCTCCCTCACACAGACAGCGTGGAAGATGACTTTGAGCTATCCACTGTGTGTCATCGCCCTGAAAGCATGGACAAGCTGCAGGAGCAGACTAAGTTCACCAAGAAGGAGCTGCAAGTCCTCTACAGGGGCTTCAAAAATGTAGGTCTGGCTGAAGAAGAGAGTGAGAAGGCAGGGGGGAATCAACAAATAAACTTAAAAAATCTGGTTCTAGCTACATCATTATGGGAGTTAAGAGCAGTATCAGTCTGGCGAGAGCTGAAGTTACCACATAGTTCTTTATATATTCTGTGTTAGATGGGAACTAATGAGCTTTCTCAATTCACATTTGTATCGCAGGAGTGTCCAAGTGGTGTGGTGAATGAGGAGAACTTTAAGACCATTTACTCCCAGTTCTTTCCGCAGGGAGGTGAGTTGTCAGCTCCCACCTCTAAACCTGAAGAGCTCCAACTGTGTCCATAATACTTTCATTTACACTATTCTTTCTATCTGCATTCAATTAATAAATTGCAGATAAAAGTGTAAATAAACTAATTTATTTGATTCTGTAGAGGTACAAATGGAGTGTTTTAATCATCACAAAGAAATTGACTTAATTAACTCATTATAAATCTGCTCTGCTGAACTATAGTCCATGCACTGCAAAGAGGCGAGGTCATTTTTCATTTCATGGTATTTAGGTTGATGAAATGTTAACCACCCGCCTCCAGTTGTATTTGAAATTATTCTTATATCTTGGCTATATTTAGCTTGCTGCTAATCCTAGCTGTTCAAAGACTTCGTTTCATGTGTTGAGGGTGCATGAGTTACTGTAAGTCTCTACCTTTGCAGATTCGAGTATGTATGCACACTTCCTGTTTGAAGCTTTCGACACTAACAAGAACGGCTCAGTTAGTTTTGAGGTGAGCTCTATTCTTATATCGGTTTCCTTTTAGAGTTAAAAGCAAATATTTGCCCCAGTGAAACTTGCCACTCTGGCTGTATCCACACATATTCTCTTCTCAGAGATTAGTGCTGTGATAAAGATTTGACTTCATTTACCGTGTCAAGATTTAAGTAATGCCAAAACAATACAGTAAACTGTTCCCCTTCTATCTCAGGACTTTGTATTTGGCCTATCTATCATCCTGAGAGGGACCATTAATGACCGGTTAAACTGGGCGTTTAACCTCTATGACTTGAACAAGGACGGCTGCATCACCAAAGAGGTAATACATGCACACGTTAGCCTGTTTTTTGGGTGCTTTAGATTACTTGCTGTCATGGCTCCTAAGCAGGGCTATAGCTATACTAATGGGGACTACAAGGCCATGTCCTCTGTATTTTGGGGGATGTGGATCTGTTATGTACATTTCAATTTTGGTGGAAATCAGGCGTGGACATTGTCTGCCAGGATATTGATTACTGACTGCATCAACTTTTATCTTTAAATTTAGAACTTGACTCTAGTACGTCAGACCGTGTGGTGTATATGGCTGCATTTAACCATAATAAAGCCAAATTCTTTTCAGGTGTGACTGAAAGAAAATTGTCACAATATAATAATTAATATAATATTTTAAAATTAAGTGTATAATAAAAATTACTCTAGTTGTTCGTTTTTTTAATCAAACAAGGCAATAAACTATAACAACTACTTAATATACAAATAAATCTTGTTTGCTTGTTCGCTGTACTTTTGGAAACCTGGTCATGGTCCAGCTTTGAAGTGATTTTTTGTTGTTGTTGTCCAACAATTTCAATAATATGTCTCCCTTTTGTACTTTACTTTCCAGGAGATGTTGGACATCATGAAGTCAATCTATGACATGATGGGGAAGTACACATACCCCACTATGCAGGACGATGCTCCAAGAGAACATGTGGAGAGCTTCTTCCAGGTCAAACAGCCTGTACCTTCTATTAATCCCTCATTCTATGATTGTTTGACCACATAAATATTACTGATAGAGATATTTTTCTGTAAAAGAAGATAATGCAAAATTATTGAACATACAAAAGTTATTCAGTGAATAAATCTTTGGCTGCCTTTTTCTTTTCTTTTTTCAGAAAATGGACCGGAATAAAGATGGGGTGGTCACCGTAGAGGAGTTCATCGAGTCATGCAAAAAGGTACGGCAGAAAACTGGATTTTCAAGTCTTAAAAGAAGCATGTGACTCCTCGTAAAGCCTTACCTTGTCGTTTTGCAGGGTCTGTTTATGTACGGATTAAACAAATTAGATATAACATAATTATTAATGAGCTTTAGAGGTGCTGGTAGCTCTATGTTTTAACTTTGGACAAAGCTAAGCCTATTGTCTCCTGGTTCTAGCTAAAATCTTCTAATGTAATTCTTGACAAATTACATGACAATTCTTGTCATTTAATTCCTCACTTTCCCTTGTGTGAATCATTTGGGTAACAAATAAGGAGGAATGACACTCCCTCCTTATCCAAACCTCTTGTCTCTGTCTAGGATGAAAACATCATGCAGTCCATGCAGCTGTTTGACAACGTCATCTAAGAATCTGGACCAGAAAGTATGCTGGCACCAGGGAGGGGAGTGTGTGTGTAAGAGGAATTGGGATTGAAAAGTGAGACAGAGTTTGTGAATGTGTGTGTGCGTGTGGCCGTCTTCTGACTTGCAAGCTTGTGCTTGTGTGTCTGTTGAGAGCTGTGATTCCCGAGGGCGCTGAGAGGCCCTCTCCCTCGTCCTGGACACCCAGTGACATTTCTCCACGCAACAATGGAGTTGCCCCAACTCTTCATCATGCAGAATCTTAGTTTTACACCAGAGACACAAAGAAAGAAGGCAAGCAGCGGTCTCATAGGCACTGGCACACACAAGACCCCCCACTTTTTTATTTGAACTTTATTTATTACTATTACTTATGGAGGAACTATGTCAGCCTGTAATGGCTCAACTCAGAGGAACAAAGCTGTCCCCAAACCTTTGTTTTAAGATCACTTTTTCCCTTTTCCCTGTGATGGCTGAGATTTGGATTTATGAATCTGATCCTGCCTTTGTGCATGTGGGTAACACCTCCCTGAAGCCGCAAGACTGCTCATGCCCCGGCCATAAAAATAGAAATAAGTCTATCACCATCTGGTGGACGAGAGAGAGAAAGACACTTCCTGAGGAAACAACTGACAATTTGGAGTTCCAAATGATCAAGTTTTATGGAGGTTCAAACGTGTTGTTTTCGATGAGGAGCTGATTTCAGTATCGCATGATGATGTCACTAATATCCAATTATGTATTTACAGAGATACTCCAAAGTCTGCTTGTCTGTCTGCTGTTCCTAGTCATTCACAGGTGCCTCACCCTTTGTGTATGTGTGTGCATGTGTAACATAAAGAGATGTCATCCATCTTACCTATGTAAGACTGTAATGGGATAACACCCACCTCCATTTATGGGATTCTGGTAGAATAATTCCCGGCCTTCCAAACTATCACAGTCCTAGTCGTAGGTGTCTAATGACTGTTGTACATTTTCTAGCATTCCCAGTGGTGTGATACTAGGCGGTACAACGTGGTGATGGCACTATAATTGACAAGCTGTTTTAACCATCCCAGCTTCCCTCAACACAGGACTGGCATACCACAGTCGTACTAGTCTATCAGTACACATCCAAGGGGAATTTATTAGATTGCAGATTGTATTTGTGAACTTCTTGTAATCTGAAATGTCATGTGGTTGTAGCAGGTTCTACCACTTCAAAAAAAATATCTCAAAACCCTTGTTGCATTCAATTAGGCTCATTCAATTTCAAAGAGGCATAGTATGTGTGTGTACTGTTAGTGAGAGAGACATGGTTCAATAACAGTTTCTTTCCTCCCCCCTCCCTCCTCCCAGACCTAACCCAGACCAGCCCACCCATCCCCATTCCATATTCTCCCTCTCTCTGTAACACCAAAGAGAAGATATAAATTAGAGGTATGTAAAGCCACCCTAAGTTAAGACAAAAAGCCCACCCGTGGGTGAAGAGAGAGGGAGATGCTGTGTAGTAAGAAAGGCAAGGGGCAATCAGAGGTAAAATGGCAATGTGGTTCACCTGCACACTGTCAGGACCGAAGTGTAGCTAACCCAAATGTTAGGCTCTGATGAATTAATTCTTTTTATGAGAATTTACAACCACTTATTAAATTGCTTCTTTTCAAAGTTAACCTACTCTTAAATATAAGATGGTGTAAGTAGAAAAGGCACTCAAGCTGTAATTAAATAGGCTGTGGTGTCTTTTAAATGCAGAAAGACTAACATGGAATAGCAATAATGTTCTCAATCACTTATCAGCACCTTTCCACTTATCCAACCTCTCATTCCTCTCAGAGCTCAGTACACTCAGTAAGGGTACACCAAGACCCTGATGAAAATATGCACTTACCCACCCTGCAATTTGTTTTTTTTCTATTCTGCAATTTTTATTTTCTGTGGGAAAAAAGTGGTTTGGCTCTGATCGTTCCTTGCCAACAGTCTGTTACTTCCATTCCTGACCACAAGTAAAACCTGTCTATACCCGCATGTACTGTGTCTAGAACAATGAAAACCTACTAACCCGTTGTACTGACTGTCTAGTTAGCTAGCCTCAACTGGTTGCATTACATATTCAAAATGTATATTTTGTACAGAGACAATAAAAATCACGGTTACTATGCAAAATGGACTTGAGTTTGAATTTTAATTTTTTTTTATTAAAATAAGACAGTGCTTTCTGTTTTACATTTCTATAAATACAGTACAAAGCAACAATCAAGAATCCACATTTTTCTACCTTATAAGTAATCACAAAGTCAGCAAGAAATTGATAATAACTTAAATATACATAATTATACATACAATCCCAACAGCCACATCTGATTCAACTAACAGGCAGTGTATGGATAGTCATAAGGCTACAGGTCAGCAATCACCTTTGCTAGCAAGCAAATTTTCATTGAAAACATTCTGTTAAAACTGCACATAAACAAAAACAGTAATTCAGTCTCACGTCTTAGTTTAATGTACTCCTGCAGAATTCTGGCTGCAAACCAAATATGTGTAATCTTCACTGGAAATCCTGTTGCTGTGTCATTAAAGCTGGATAGAAACTTCAAATGTGCTTGTTTTTGCTTTTGCATGTCTTCGTTAAATTCTTTGCAAAACAAAACACCTCACGCTACGTTGTCACCTTCTTATGACAACATGCATCCACTCATAACACCCCTGCTATAATGCGATTATTCAGTGTCACCACATGAAGATTACTTAGCAGCACCACAGGACTGATTCAGCATATGCATACAAGTCCAGTGTTAAATCAACAAAATTTCTCATTTTTTAACGCCTCAATTTTTTTACTCTTCTTCTCTGAAAACCTTGTTCACAATGACACTGCTGACTCTTAGAGGCATGAGGTGTGGCTAGTAGGGATTAGATTTGTCCATAAGAGTAGCGGGCATTTACTTGGGCATCTTGCGGAGCTCTGCCAGAACCCAAATGGCCAGTGACAGAAGAGCGACAGAGCCAGACTGGTGAGTTGCTGCCAGTGGAGTGGGGACATACAGTAACAGGGTGCTGATACCGAGGGCGACCTGCAGAGCACAAATACAGAATTTGATTACATCGAAGAGTAATAGACTGGGTCTACACGTTTCTGGGCTGACTGAAAGCCTACCTGTCCATAGGCCATTGCTGTGAGGAGGCTGATTGCAATCTTAGCCCTCCTGGGCAGCACCATCCTCCTTGAGAACAGATACAGGCCTGTAATCGCGGTCAAAGAGGAAATCGCCTGGAAAAAGAGAATTACAGAAGACCATCAACCTACTTACCTGCTGCTGGGGTTCAAATAATCTTTTACTTCAATTAAAATGTTGAAATGTTGAAATGTTGCCCACAAGGTGAATTCTGTTTAGAAATAATAACATACCAAAATCCTGTGGTCGAACTGCACAGTCGTGGGATTTTCAAAGAAGTTCTTAAGGGTAGGCGAGAATGCCAACAGGTCATCAGGTATCCATCGTTCTCCCATCTTAGGGAAGGAGTTATACACGAGCCCAGCATCCAAACCAGCAACAAAAGCACCTGTGGAAAAGCATATGTATAGATCACATTCTTATTCACCTTATCTTAACAGTCTGCAACATTAGATTTCACACATTAAATTTAAATGTCCACGTATTTACCTTAATTTTGCGTGTTTTTTTTTTTAAATATCCCCTTCGACTTTTTAAATATTCTCTACAGTAAACTGTACTGTATTGTATTACCTTAGCTTAAAATATGAAAACTGTAGCCAAGAATCTATTTGCATCCCCAAAGAGGCTTGAAACTAAAAGCACCCGTATCACATTCACATCAGATCAAACATTACCTGAGAGAGCAGTGAGGAAGACGAGTCCACCGGTACCCTTGGCAAACCTCCTAAGTTGCAGGAGACGTTTGGTTTCTGTCAGCTGTGAAAGAGGTGCCACCGTAAATAAAATAACCCCAAAACACAACAAACAAACTGCGTGACATTTTCCCACACAGACCAAGGATAAAGCTGTATTAATTCTGGTGTAGATAGAAACTATAATGGGTGTGGACACTATACCTTGTACGCAGGCAGCAGCAGAGTAAGCCCCGTCCAGAGACTGGCGCAGTAGAGCAACAAGGCAGAACCAAGGTGAGCACTCAGACGATACTGGCTGACCCGCGGGATGTCGTGAGACTCTGGCTTCTCCTCCAGACCGCTCTTTACCATGTACCACCCCAGAAGGCCCTGGAAGGACACACACAATGATACAGTCATCCATGTGTTTTTTTACATTAATTTGACATCCATACAACTTCACTACAAACTTCACAAAACTCATAATGACAAATTAAACAGTGCACCCAACCTACTCTAACACTAACAGTTAGGCAAAGATTAACTTCTATGGTCCTCTCCTATCACCACAGCCTTCTTGAGTTTTACCTGGAAGAAGACAAATCCGCAAAGCCCCAGCACTTTTCCCTTCATGGAGCGATTAAAGTATCCTTTCCTCCAGAAGTAAACGGTGGGGAGGATATACGCAAGTCCAACCAGCCGACCCCACATCCGATGGCCCCACTCCATGAAGAAGATAAACTTAAACTCTGGCAGAGTCATGTCATGGTTCATTCTGGGAAAACAATGGATAATTCATCTTTAAATTAAAGACCCAACCCCAAATTTGTGTACTACATAACACTGAGGTATATTCAATGACATAACTGTGAAAGCTGTGTTTTCAAATGGTAAAACTGTGCAGTTTGTATTCAGTGTTAGAACCACTGCTGATGTGAAAAAAAAAACATTGAAAACATTGCAGAATATATAAATATGAATACTGTGATTATTTTGACAGATATTGTGATTGCGATATGATCCACAATTAGTGTGAATGATTGTCACACAAAACACATAAAACGATTAAAATCATGTCGATTTGTTGTGATCTGACCAAAGAAACACATTGTCTTACATCTGGAGAACAAGATTTATGAATTAAAAGACGTATCAAGAGGGTTTCAAACTTCCAAACTTGGGGTGCCTTTAAAACTGTGCAAATGTGTGTCTTTATGAGGTAAACAGAAAATATGTTGCCTTACATTTTAAATTCAGGAAACTGCTGGTACTTGGAAAACTCAGCCTCCCACTCTGCTTGTGACTGAGGTGGCTTCATCTCTCTTACCAGATGCCAGTCAACCATGGAAAGCCCAGATTCTGTGAGCCTGATTGAAACAAATTCACATATACAGTAAGTGCCAATACAAGAAGGAGTATTATATTCACAGACATATAGCTTTAAAGTCACCTTTACCTTGTGACACCACCCAAGACAATAGCCCCAACCACCAGCCCGCTGCAGCCGAGTAACCAGCGACCCACTATGCGATTTGTGGCTGCGTTGGGGACAGTAGCTGCTGCCGGTGCGGAGGAGGCCCCAGCCTCAGCTGTGATGGTGCTCTGACCTCTCTTCACGAGCCATTGTCGTAGCTGTGGACTCCGCTGAAGTTGTAAATAAAGAAGAGAGAAGACTTGAAATGAC